GCGCGTTTGTGGATTGCGTCTTCCGCGCAGTGGCCTCGAAGATGCCCGGTGGCCGCCAGCTGAAAATATATGTTGGGTCTACCGGGCGCGGGCTGGTTCCTCAGCGCGCCCCGACGTTCAGTTGGTATTTGCGCGAGGGTTCTTCGACTGAGGCAAAGGCTAACGATGAACAGGTCTTGTTTCGCATCGCGGTCCCTTGAAGGCAATCGGCGTTGTTTTCGCCATGGGGGGGGGGGGGGGGGGGGGGCGACTGGCAGATGTCCCCGGAGGATCTGACTGTCGCGGAATGGCTTGACATCGGGCGCGTCGCGGTTATTGCGCCTTCTTCAGTAAAGTACGTCAGCGGCGACGCATCAGCGTGCGTGGACAATTTCGTACTTGGCCGTTTGTTCGCTGATGATTGAAGCCGCGCGGTCGTGGATACTGGTGTTATCTCTGAGCATTTTCCTCTAGCGCTGAACATGCCTGCAGACTGCCGCCACCGAATGGCCCCCTGGCTGTTGAATCGTTGATCGATTGTCGCCGAGTGCCCGAGGGCACTCCGTGGGGGGATATATCTGGCAATCCGCGTGGCGGCCGCAGTCGTAGCAGGCGACCGCGCGATGGACCCAGAGGTCTACCGCGGAATTCTTGATGGTTCATCAGACAGTCTCTGATATCGCTTCGATGCGGGCCCGACCTTGCCCCGCCTTCCCGCCTCCAGCCTCGTCGAAATGTCGAGGCTTCCCCGCTGTTTCTTTTCGCGGGCTTCTTTGGCGGCGCATCGAGGCGCGCCCCGGGCTTCAGCGTCGCCCAGACGCCCTGGTCTCGATCGAAACTCATTGTTCTCAGCGCGACTTCTCGCGCTGCCCTAGCGCGCGCGAAGGATCTTCGCCTGCCGAGTGGCCGCGACAGGAGCGAGGGGCCGACGTTTTACCCCTCCGCACCCGCGCCTCAGCAGATTGGGGCGTCGGCGGAACAGCTCGAGCAAGTGGCCGTCCAGCAAGGGCGGTGTAATTTCAAGCTTCGGCACCTGTGTGGGCGCGACTGGGTTGTGCTGATTCTGCGAGGGGTTGCTCTGCGTCCTGCCGCTGCATCGGAGGCCGTGACCACTGGGGGCCTTTTGAGGTAGATGAAGACATCTCAGCTCGCCCAGGCGCGCCCCTCGGGCCCCCCGCGCGCCGCGCGCATGGCCGCGAGAGGCCCTTGCGCGCGACGTGGCGCGCTGGCGGATCTCCTCCTCCGCCCGAGCTACTTCCATTTGCTTTTAGTGATGTCCTGCGACTCTCTGTTTCCGCGCCCTCGCCGTTGCGCGAGCTATCTCGCGGCTGCCAGGCTCAGCCTACCGTTGGCGCCGATTGGGCGCGTCCTTGACACTTCCAGTTCCGGTCAGAAAGAACTCTCGAGGCATTGATCGATCTCTGGCGCGTCGCGTCGTTCCTCGGGAAGACACCGCGAGCTCTGGGCACCTACCAGTAGCAGCGTTCCCTTCGAACGTCCGGGCACGCGCCGGTTTGCCCCCCCGCTCTTGGGGCAGGTGCCAGGGGCCCAAAGTTGCCCGCCATTGCGTTTTTGACGCCGCCAACAAATCATGACCGAGGCGCGCGCGGCACCATTCTGTCTTATCCCAGCTCGCTCATGCCAGGGGCTGGGTCTCGCGCGGCCTCCCCATGCAATGAATTGGAGAGCGTGCCGCGCCGCGCCCTCGCCGCTCGCGCCCTTGCCCTTGGGCTCGATCGCGCGATGCATTGATGCGTGCTCAATATTTACCGCGGTCCGCGCATTGTTGCAGCCAGGGCCCTCCCTGCGACCCAGACGACTGCCGCCGGTCGTGGGCTCGCAGACCTCCCCGTGAGATGCGCGATCGCGCCTGTCGCCGATCTGGAGCAGGAGTTGCGCCGGTTTGTCTTTCATGGCGTCGGTGCAGACGGCGCCTTTTGTTTGCGCATTGTCATCGTGTTTCGAAGTGGGTACCGAATGTGGCTAGCGCGCCCGCGCAGAAGTTTCGCGACTCGCACTTGCCGCGATCCCCCCCATGCTGGTTCTGCTCGCATCCAGCCCCGACGTCGGGGAGATCATCGTCGAAGAGGTCCTTGCATTGATCGCGGCGCCACGAGGTATCATTGAAACTGGGGGCGGCGATTGCGCGCGTCGTCTTTGCAAAGGTCTGATCCGCGCCCTGCGTTAGTATCGGTTTAATTTGTCCAGCCAGAGATCTCAGAGTGTCGCGCAGCTTCGAAGAGCAGACGGTCGCGCTCAGCGTCGCGCGGATGCCTCTGCGACGACCGCGGCCCTTCTGGCGCGCGCGTCGCTGGTATATCAGCCGCGCGCATGCGCGAAATACGCGAAACCGCACAGCCATGTCTGCTAGACAGCACCGTTCCATCACCATGGGCATGACGCTCGAGCGGGCAATGCATCCAGCAGTACTTGGACACGCGGATGGCATCGCCATGTGGCGCCCGCGTCGTTGGGACCACGTCTTGCCAGAGACGAGATGTTTGATGAATTTCTTGAAGAGGCGCGCCGACGCGTCGCCTCGGGAACTCATTGGCGCGATATGCGTGGGCCTGCTTCTGCTGTCGTCGCCGCGTTAATCTGGCTCGCATGATCTGTCGGGCCTTCTACGAAGTGGCAGACTGCAGCGGCTGTGCCGCCGTCAACATGTCAGAAGTTCCCCCAGGACGTTGAAACCCTCGTCGCGCGCGATGCGAATCTTAGGGCATGGCGCCAATCTGCGCCACGGCA